AAACTTGTTAAGTAGAGAGGTGAGTAGATATTCCATAATACTTTAATATACACTTAATCGTCTGCCACCAGCGAGTTTTAAAGAACGATACGACTTAGGTACTGTCAAGAAAAGAGCCTTATCTTATGCGTTTAAAAAGCCGGCAACGCAATTCCCCTGGTGTTGCAGTTGTGCATGGGCGGCGCTTGTCACTTACCAACAGGTGAGCCGCATGCTGGTTTGCCCCCTCTTCTATAAAAATTATACATACTTTCCTTCTTGTTTGTTAATTCTCGTTTATAAACTTGTAATTTATAAAGTTTCTTCGTAATACTAATATCATAAATACGAAATTATTTTACGGTCGGTTTGAAAATGTCAGACAAGCAAGTTATAACTTAATTGAAACCTCTTTAAAACGTCTACGTAATAACTATGCTGTTTAATTATCCGGTAGTAAGTTTATTTACTAGACTATAGGGAGCTATGTTACTGCGTTGACAGAATTATTAATTAAATGACAATTCTGCCATTAATTTTAAATGTATTTATTTTATAGTCACAAACAGCAAGTTTCGCGGCCCCAGTTTGCATAACCAAATATGTCCCCCCAGTCACCTCAGGTGTGACGACCCATCTGCATTTTTAATTGTTAATCGAGTTTAGATATAGATGTCCCATTTTTTATACTTATATGTCTCCCGGGACCATGGTCCCATCCCCCCTCCCTTTTGCTATGCCACTAGTATTGTGGTTATCGTTACCTGTTCGCCGTAAAAGCCTTACATCATTGATTTATATATCTATACATTGTTAACGTGCCTCTGACAATAAGTTCCCTTTTTCGTTTATAGTACGTAATGCAAACGGTTTGAATTATTTGACCGTGTCTGCTTTTAGAGATCAAAACAATTTGGGTATTGCCGAGATAATTGGTAGGTATTATTTATTTTAAAGCTAACGTGCTTACTTTGTATGTAAAATCCTATTACCACTTAACATCATGTGCTCGGACAATCATTAGCTGTTTATTTTATGGAATTAAGTATTTTTAAGAATATACTAGCTGCCATCATTTCTTTTTTTCAATCTAATTAAGTCTCCATATTTTTAACTGACTTCAAAATGGAGGTGGTTTACGCGATATCTTCGCAGGTTGTGAACCAATGTTGATGATTTTTTTTATTAAGTAGGCTTTACCTTAAAGTTGGTACCACTAAATTTTGAAGAAAAAATGCCACCCCTAGAGTGTAAAATAGGGGAAAAAGTTTCATATTGGACTCTGTTTAAGGAATTTCTTATGATATTATTTTCGCAGACTAAGAACAGCTTTTAATGATTCTTTTTTTATCAAATCCCATATATAAAAATTCCACCTCAAAGGGTTTCAAATAAATAACTTCCTTTTTTAGCAATTTGAAATCGGTCTTTACTTTTTGTTAAAAGTTATATTTAATGCGTCACAACATATTTTGTTTTATTATTTGCGCCTGTTATTATTTATTAGCAAACTACACATGCACCACTTTTGCTATTTACTTATTCCACAGTGTGTCCCACATATGGAAGAAATTATGTTATAGAAATTATGCTAATCATATTATCATATGAGAGTTATTCAATGAAGTTATTTTTAAATGAACACAACTAACGCTTATAGTTCGTTACGTGCTCCAACATAAAAAGCACAATCTCTCTCCAACTGCTTTGATAGGTATACATACAGCGTACGCTTTTTAGAATTATGTTTGAAGTAGGTTTGAAGTTCATTTTGATAACGAAATAGACGCGTAAAATCAATATGAATTATCGAATGATTTGTGTCCTCCTCTGTCGCACCATACTCAAAAATTCTAATTTCACACATCAATTTCGCATGTCACACAGTCTCTTCCGAAAACATCCATATCTGCTGAGAGAATCTGAGATGTTTGGTAGTCCGGTGAGACCCAGTCCGGTGAGACCCATCCGGTATACCTGAGTCTCGATAGAGCTCGCGTCCTTTTGATTCACTCGTCCATCGATCCTGCCAAATACCTTGCTAATGCCAAAAATCGGTCTGTGCCCACGAGTGGGATATACGTCTCAGAAGTGGAACGTATATGGACATAACTTGATATTTTTATAATTTACTAACTTTGGCACCCAATTAATAACTAATCAGCACCGCTCACTTCAATTGTGCAATGAACTAGCAATGAAGTACTCGTGGCTCTACCACCACGTATAAAGTGGTATAGCTGGCTATCTCATATATCAGTTGCCATCTGTCGCCGATAGTAGTACCTAGTTTGAGCTGTCGAATGATAGTAGTGGACTGTCCTACATCTACTCCAATACAAGGTTTTATTTAATATTACATAAATTCTTCACTAATACAAAAATAAACAATATTAACATGTCTTCTGGCGGTCTTATTGCTTTAAAAGCGATTTGTTTTAAAAAACGAATCTAATCAGCTGATACAACTTAAGAATGAAGAAATGTATTATACTGTACGTTGTCATTTATTACTATGCCCGCCTATTACTCCTAAACTAGTAGTTAGGTTTAGATTAATAGATTAGCCATACTTAATTACGCGAACAACACAGATGTCCATGGCGTTAGTATAAAGTAGAAATGGCAAATTATGTTAAAATAAAAAAATGAAAAAATTATGATAAATCTAACGATCTAAAACACGATTAAATAAATCTATAAATAAAAAGAGAGGGGGTGGGAAATGCGAGTATTGCGCAAAGGAAAACCATATCCATCATAAACTATTCTTAAGGAATAAACTCCAAAAAACACTGCACACTACGTGAATTACATTCATGATCATCATCATTACAGCCTTTCACAAGTCCACTGCTGAACATAGGTTTCCCCCAAGGAATGCCACAAAGCACGGCCCTGAGCCACCTGCATCCATCGACTTTCTGCTTGTCTCACCAGGTCGTCACTCCATCTAGTGGGGGGTCACCCTACACTTCGCCTACCGGTACGAGACTGCCACTCGAGAACCTTTTTTCCCCATCGGTTGTCGGTTCTTGAGCTATATGGTCAGCCCATTGCCTTCAGTTCCTAATCCATTCAATCCATCCAAGCATTTCATTACTTGAAAGGTATTTTATAGAAACGAGCACACTTAGTCAACATGATGTTTGTTCGTATTTTAAGCACTGCCATATCGTCCATCAGATTGCGGTAAAACTTTGTCAACTTATTGCTTGCACTTGCGCCACGGTTATAGGCATTGTACAAATAAACTTACTGTAGGTGGCACGTGTATCGTACAGACAATTATTTGAAAGTTATATAACATCATTATTATCATTACTAAATATTACTCTTCCAAATTCAAAATTATATTTCCTCAATTATTTCTTTTGCGGCAGCAACGCGCCGAGTACCAGCTAGTATTTTATAGGTATTAGATTTGAAATAAATATCCTAAGCACTCAGGCATTGTTTTGCGTGTATACAAACAAAAAAAAACATTAGAAACCGAAAAACGTTTAAATAAATTGCAACTTTTCAATTTTGATACTGTAATAACTAATATGTTCACTTTAGTTAGAACTAGCGACATCTAGTGATCTTGTGTTTATTAGCAATCATTGAATGTTATGGACCACAAGCACCTACATCTTTCCATCACTGAGAATCAAAGAGTAGATGCGTTATCACTTATCACCCTCGAGACCAAGATAGAATACTATCTTAATTTACATATACATACATAAACACTCACGCCTGTCACCCAGAGGGGTAGGCAGAGACTACGGACTTCCATTTGGCACGATCCTGACATACCTCTTTCGCCTCCTTTACATCCATATATCTACGCATACATGCTCGTCGGTTAAGGGTACTTCTAACGTGGCCCATTTTCAAAATATCGCCAATTTGGTTGATAAACTTTCTTCTAGGGCGTCCCTTCCCGACTCTGCCGTTCACATCTGCCACATAAATTTTCTTTGTCCCTCTTTCCTCATTCATTCTTTCCACATGACCAAACCACCGAAGCATTCCTTTCTTAATCCTGGTCACAACATCATCTTGCATACCACATTTATCTCTTATCACGCAATTTCTCACCCTGTCATTCAGATTCAACCCTGCTAGGGAATAGGTACTCCTTAAAGACCGCATTTCTACAGCATTTATTCTACTTTCGTGCTTCTTCTGCCACACCCAGCTTTCACTACCATACATTAAAGTAGGGACTAACAGCATTATGAATTACCATACATGCCTTTTTTGACACATTCTGATTCTTCATAATAGAGTGTAGTGCCCCATTCACTCTATTCCCTGCATTTATTCGTCGTTCTATATCCTTATCATATCTACCATCCAACTTTTTTTACATGATATTGTAAAATACAATTGTTATATAGTATTGCCGTTCAAAAAAACTGTTCTAAAAAAATTATAGAGAAATACAAAAACAACAAACTTAAATATTCATAGATTAATAAAATATAGCAATTTTCTGAAAGAAGCGAAAAAGGTATGTAAGGATCGTGACACTTGGCGATCTGTTCTCTCTGGCTACCCCGTTAGGGATTGTGCGTGAAGGTAAGTAAGTAAGTAAGCAATTTTCTACATTTTTCCCTTGTCTTAAAATAGTATTAAGATAAATAAATTAGGAAAATATGATACCGTACATTTTAATGCAGACCATATCTTTTAGGCTGATGAACATGACGGTACTGTACGGTATTAACATATTTTAAAGAGAACAATTGATAATACGATAAAATCATTATGAAGTCTAACTGTATTTTAAGGATGTGTATACACAGTCTGTTCAAAAAGTATAGCGAATTTTGTATTTTTTCAAAAATTATTTATTTATTCATGAAACTATTTTGTCTCTTTCAAAGTAATCTCCCTCGAATATAATGCACTTGTGCCAACGTTTTTTCCAATCCTCGAAGCACTTAAAAAAATCATTTTTCGTGATCTTCTTCAGCTCCTCCTTCGACGCAGTCTTTATCTATTCAATCGTGGCGTAGCGTCGTCCTTTCATGGGCCTCTTCAGTTTTGGGAACAGGAAAAAGTCACAGGGAAATACGGTGGTTGTGGGACCATTAATGCGTTGTTTTTGGGTAATTATGCGCTCACAAGCAACGATGTGTGAGCAGGCCGCTATCATGGTGCAAAAGCCAGTTTTAGTTCTTCCACAAATCCGGGCGTTTCTGGCGGATTGCTTCGCGCAAATTACGCATAACTTGCAGGTAATGTTCCTTACTGACCCGACACAACTTTGGTTTCCACGTCATAACCATACCATGATTCGTCTCCATTTATGACCCTCTGGACCACATTTGGGTCGTCACAGACCGAGTCCAATATCTCTTGAGCAATGTTAACGCGATGCTGTTTTTGGTCGAAATTGAGCAATTTTGGCACGAATTTCGCGGCGACCCGACTCATGTCCAAATCATTACTTACAATTGAATGGCACGAGCCAATCGATATGTTTAGATCCTCAGCAACTTCTCTAACGGTGATTCGAAGATTGAACAATAATATTTTCTTCATTTTATCAATGTTATCGTTTGTTGTTGACGTGCTCGGGCGTCCGGCACGCTGTTCGTCAATCACATCTTCTCGGCCCTCTGAGAACATTTTGTACCACCGATAAACGTTGCTTTGGTCCAAGGTAGCTTCACCGTATGCCACAGTCAATATTCGGAATGCGTCTGCGCAATTTATTTTGTTTATTTACAATTTAATACAGATTATTTGGTCATTATTTGGAATAGGCACAAATCGAAGACGAGCAAAAACACATCCAAGCAAAACAGTTGTCAAAAATTAACTAAACACTCAAAATGGCCGACTTTTTTCAGCATAAGTAAGAAACATGAGTACCAACATAAGGCTACAAAAAAAATCAAAAATAAAATATACGTAGCCCGCGGAAATTCAAAATTCGCGATACTTTTTTAAACAGACCTCGATAATATCCAGGAATTGAAACTGTATATCCCAGTATCAACAGTTTTGTATACTTTTTGGTTTAATATATACTTCAAACATTATTGGTACATGTATATAATTGATTTGTTTCATTGTAATGATGTGAATAAATAAAACAACTATTTTTAGAAAAATTCGATATATTTAAAGATGATAATACAAAATAAGATTTTTATTTAAATTATTCAGTATAGGAATCAGCCGCTGAGTTGTTAAAGAAATCAACGTCTTCATCGACGTCCGAATTATCTTCTCTATCATTTTCTGAAACATGAATAAGGTTTTGTCAAAATCAAAGTCTTACGTACAGATTAAAGATGTAAAGATTTATTTATTTACCTATGACGTCATCAATTTCTTCGGCTGATTTCGGCTTCGGCTCATCCGGTTCCGTTATGTCACTGACTTTTTTGGGGGCATACCTCGCCGTGAAACCAGTCAAAATCGTACCGACCGTCATTGAAAATCCATCCATAGCTTATTGGTAACAAGGTCGACGGTATTTGTTTGTAGCCATTACACCAAATCTGTGCTGTGTAGGTACTCTTCATATGTTGTTTTAACTCCCGGAAACAAGGGGGGAACTTTCAGATTTGTACGGCATTAACTTTTTATAAATTATTGCATTAAGTACAAATAAACTATCTAAATGCCGTATAAAAATATCGTCATGAATTTTACCTTACATTTCGTTATATGGATTTTTCTTGCATTTCGTTCTATGGATTTTTCCTTGAGTTTTTTCCCCTACAAACCTTTGGACCAACGAAAATGTACGGCATGTAAAAAATATTATCTATGCATAAAATACTTTCAAAATAAATTACTTTTATGTTGTTTCAGGTCACCCCCGGACCACGGAAGGAGAAGGATTTTTGTACGGCGTTGCGGAATAATAGATTAGAAGCTGTATTGAAACAGTATGAAACTGATGCCGTACAGAAGAAATGACCAAATTTACCCTGAAAATTGTCAGAAAATCAAAAAAAATTGCGCGCTTTCTTATTATTTTTCATGGATCTATCGATGGGAAAAATGCCGTACAAAAATATATAACTAAAATGTACTCATTCTACCTGCACTTTTGAATTCTCACCAACACTCAGTTGGATATCTTTCAAGTGACGGCATAGTGCTGAATCTTATTATTTTATGCTCTTATATCGTCCTATATACGTCACCTGGTGGTTTATATGACCCATCCATTTTTTGGACATGGGCCTGTAGTCTATTACAGAGTATCAATTACTTTTTTATTAAAACTAGTAAGTATATCCAATATCACAAAATCTATCCGTCCTCTGTAGTGATAAATCGATGTCCTCCTCTCCAGTAGCCATTTAAGATTCGGTAGACTGTTCGCCATTTACTAAAATAATCATAAGTTAAAAAGATTAGCAAGATTGGGTCTACTTGACGGAGGAAGGACCACGGTGTCATAGAATATCAGAGTAAGGTAGTATAATAGTCGTATCATCGTTTTGCTCCCTAACTAAACGGAAACCGATAAAGAAAAAAGATACGCCTACATAATATAATTTTTCTGGAACTGATGGTATGTCTATGCGGATATATTATGGTTGTAGCATGAATAAGTCGGCGTGATCGGAGTTGGACTACGCTCACAGAATAACAGCGTAAAGCAGCAGCTCGGTGCTGCTGCTTTACGCTGTTATTCTATGAGGTAGTAGGGACACGCTGCAACTATATTATGGTTGTAGCACGAATGACTCGTCATCACCGGGGCAGAACCACGCTCTCACAGAATACCAGCGTAGAATAGCAGCGTGTTTTGTATGGTAAGTGCACAGAACCGGAAACCCTTTTTACTAGAAACGAGGCATTCCATCTCAGTTCTCAGGGGTGACAACGAAACGGCATTATAATTATTAATATGTGGAATAAGATATTACTTATTGGATGCGTTTGGCAGAAAAAAGCGCTAGCAAGCGCTTATAAGCGCTGAAATAGTTTTCGGCCAGGACACGATTGCTACTTCGGTAGCACTGACACATTCCGCCATTTTGCTTATTTAATTTGTTTGTTTTTTAAGTAGAGTTTATAAGATGTTTTGTGCAATATTAGTTTTAAGTAAAATAATGACATGAATAAACATATACATGTTATTAAAAATTCATGATTGGTAAGTTTTTAATATCAATACTTTACAAACATATATTTAAATTAGGTTAGGTTTCCCGGTTAAAACTGACATCGTGTCCTGGAGGAAAATAGCTACTTACGATTTGACAGCGCTTACCGCTAACGATCGCCATTTTGCTTACGAGCGCTTGCTAGCGCTTTTTTCTGCCAAACGCACCCATTGGATGTAGTTGTCTACGGGCAGCGTCCACTTACCCTCAGGTCATAGATTGTAGAGGTAATCAGGTGATCTATGTGCTGGTCTGTCACCATTATTCTATAAAAAATTAATATGCCTTCGCGATAGAGAAGAAATTCTGAATGGGAGGCTGACGATTGTTTAAAAGATGCTATTTGGTGTTAGTTTTAAGATAAATGTAAAAAATGTTTGATGTCAATCAGTCACTTCCTAATTCAGTCCTAAAGACACGAACAGCTTTCTCTGTACATTGACACGACAAATAAAAAGAAATAGGCTTAACTGTGATGTCAGCGACTTCATTCACTATGCACGAACAACTATTTGCACCACCGATGTCTCCCTCTTATCTATTTATTTATTTATATTTATCTAAGTTGACTTTTAGTTTTGATGATTAATATGTTACCTGTAATATTATTTTATACGTGGTAGATCCATGCTGCAGTTATATTAGTAGTATAGCTGTAGCACGATTGGGTCGGCTCGACCGTGAAAGGACCACGCTCTCACAGAATACCAATGTAATGTAGCAATTCAATGACGCTGTCTGTTGTATGGTAAGTGTAGAGAACTGGAGACCTTTTATACTGGATATAAGGCATTCCATCTTAGTCCTCACGTGTGATAACGCAAAGCATTCTGACTGTAAATCGACGATAAATGTGGATGTCTTTAGGCCACAACATTCATTTACCATCAGGTGGAATGTGTGAACGTTTGTCACCTTTTGTCTATAAAAGAAAAATCTTAGCCATTACTGTTTGTTGTAAGTCGGCTTGGTGCCCGTTTAGTAGCTTTATGAGACAATAGATGAGGCATGGGGACATCGTAACTAGCATAGACGTACTTTAAAAGTGAGTGACTTTTTGCGCTGCATCTAAACACGGGAAGCATACTGTGATGATTTTTACGAGATGAAATACGGAATTAGAGTCCACGGGGGAAGGTGCGTCTAATATTTTTGTTTGCCTTACCTGTAAAGGAAAAAGGTGAGGAATTTTCCTCTCCAGCGCTGGTGGGGCTACGCATGTGTACAAAAGTGTTCGTAAGGTCCTGCCAATATGCGGTGACGGCTAAACATCATAAACGCAAAATTATACAGAAGCGGCGTAAGAAGAAGGTACGGCAGAGGTGCGGCGCAAGAGTGGAACGGGCAAAAGTGCCTGTGACACCCGCTAGAGTATAATTCACGACATACTGCTTTCATACATTTTATATGAAAATGTTTTGAAGCGCCACCATGCCTGCACCGCGCCTATGCCGTGTCTTCGCCTTATGCCACTTCTGTATAATTTGCGGCATAAAGTTTTAGTCTGCAAGAGTCCGACGTAGCCCGTTCTTGTCTTGCGAGGCGGGTGTATGGTGGTCAGAAGTATAAGACGCGAGCGAACACCGACACTCGTCGTAACACTAATATCACAAAAGTGGTAAAATTAAAATTTTTGTACAACCGACTTCAATATAAATAAAATGAGAACATCATCATCTATTTACTTCTCATCCTCATTTAGGTCACACTTCACTTTACTTCGGCTCGAGTCGATGTAGTGTGCTACATCGATACAGAACCAGAAGAAAGTAATTAGTCAAAACACTTACAATAATAACGCACCTACAATTCTCCTGGTGCTGCAGTAGTTTCAGGCAGCAGTAGTCACTTACTATAAGGTGAGCCGAATGCTCGTAAGAGGGCTAACTCTTCTATAAAAAAATCTCCTCCTTTCTTAGCTGAATTACTCTTGGAGCGTAAAATCCCCGCAATGACTCAAATTATATCGCCTTGTCTTTACGTGTTTTCAACTCTTTTCGTACTCACGGACGTTTTTCTTCACCCCCAAGGACATTTTTTACTGCAGCTACATATATTATAATTCTAGCAAGTCAGTTCGACCGGAACTGGACTGTGGGCTCGTTTGTCACCCAATGCGCAACGACCACATTTAACAATTTCATTGACGCTGGCGAGGATTGAAATCGGGATAATCGCTATCAAAATCTTCATCCGCAGTACGATCCTGAACTAGCTGTATTGCGTTTTAATTGTGTTGAAAAAATTGAAAAATGAAAAATCTTTATTGCAGCATACTCAACAATTTGCATATATATCGATATGATCCAAGCTCCTGTAAAAGTTAACCTGAGTTACAGGAGCTAGTTTATTCCTATATTTGACAAGCGTTGTAATTGATCCTCTCTCTTTTTTATGTAATAGATTTAAACCTCTTTTACTAGTTACAAAACATTCCATTTAACTCATCAGAGATGACAACGCATCTTCTTTTGATTCTTAATCGAGAATAGATGTAGCAGTCTATTGGTCATAGCGTTTTCTTACCATCAGGTGGACTGTGTGCTCGTTTGTGACTCCTACTTCATTAATGTACACGTATCTAAGTTCGATTTACTCATACGAGCTTACTCTCATAAACAACGTTCACATGCGATGCTAATTTGATACAGTAAATTAATTTATGGCTTCTCATTACATAAAACACATTCGGTTCGATTAAAACTGGAATTACAATTTGCACTAATATATTACAACTTACAAGTATAGGGGGTCCGCTTGCAATTTACGACTGCGAAATGATCCGGAGCAAACATTATTTTGTTTTTAGTATTTATGAAGAGCCGTATTTTTTAGCTCACCTGATGGTAAGTGGATGCTGTGGCCCATAGACGTCTACATCTATCATCAATTAATATGTTCTCACCTCTGGGGACTTATACCAACGCATTATATAGCAGCTAAATGATGGCGTGTTCCTATGATGAGTGTTGGGAATTTAGGACTAGCAACACTGGCAACAAGGCATTCCGTGTTAGGCCTCAGGGGCGAAAACACGTTTGCATTTTTTCATTAAGACTATGTGTTTTTTTTTGTCATCCTTATTATATATATAAAAAATAACATTTCGCTATATTCAAGATGCTTATTACGTCCGCTCTCCGTAGAGATTTTCCCATGAGTAATTTTCGGTTGTCACGGAACTCGATTGAATAATGAATTTGCCTTGTCATTACCATGTGTCTCACACATTGCTATGATTAATTAAAGTTTTCGCTATACCGTACTAAATAACAACCTTTTAGGTATGCTCCGTGATATAAAAAAAAACATCTACAGCTTTGTATAAAAAGTAAAATCCGTCTAAGACATAGAGTATCGTAGAATCAAAGCCCTCGACTTCTAGATCTATTATATCGATTTTATTTTATTCTCAACGTTTTGGGTGCTTTATAGCACCTATATTCTATGGGGGACTGAGGTGTTTGACGTTCCTATGTCGTAGTTAGCCCGGCTACCTTCAGTTTTATAAGATTATAAGTATTTTTGGTCTGAATTTGAAGGTAGCCGGGCTAACTATGACGTCAGGACGTTAAACATCTCACTACCTTCCATGACCATTGGTGCTGTAAAGCACCCGAAGTGTCGGGTGTTAAAAAGTTCAGATTAAACGCGATAAATTCCGTAAAATTAGTTTCATTTGTGTAGTGTTCGCGTAAATATAAGAAGTCATTAATTACTTTATTCTTTTTAGTTAAGTATTTGAATTAAATTGTTTGAACTTTTAAATGGATTTACGTTTTAGGCATACCACAAGCT